GGTGGGAATGCAAGCTATTGCAGCCACCATGGAAGTCAATCTAGAGAACACTTAGACAATTAAAAATTCACCTATCATATGACCCAGCAATACCACTTCTAGGAATATATTCAAAAGGCTTGTTACATGACAAAGCAATATATACCCCAATGTTTACTGCAGCACAATCAACATTTGCCGAGAACATGGAAGCAACCTAAATGCTCATCAAGAGAGGACTGGATAAAGAAACTGTGGTTCATCTACACTATGGAATACTACTCTGTGATTTTTTAAAAAATTAAATGCATTACTTTGTGGCTAAATGAGCCAAACTAGAGACCATTATGCTAAGGGAAATGAGCCAATCCCAAAAGGTCAGATATCATATGTTTGCTCTAATTTAAGATAATATGGTGTCAAATCTAGGTATATTACATATGAATCTTGCTCTATGTCACTTCATACTTATCTGTACCTTATGTAACAAGAATTTGTGATATAATTCATTAATCGACCATCCATAAGATGCTGATTGCTTATAATCACCTGAGATGGTCAGTGTCCCCTTTAACACTGTTATCGGTACTGCCCATAAATAATGAAGACCTAATCCTTGCTGTACCTACATTAGGGTCGCAGGATACAAGAATGAACCCACAACAAAATGACAGTTTCCTATATGGTTGGGAGACACTCCAGTGGAAACATGATGAACCTGGGAAAATTCACGAAGGACACACGTTATTAACCTGGAGGGGAGAACAGAGGGAAGAGGAGAAAATTTGGGGAGGGGGGAGGGAGAGCCCAGTGCCAACTAAATTGTATCAAAAAGCAATTTAAAAATGTATAATTATCATTCTAATTTTAAAAATAAAACCCCTGCTAATCCACAGAAGAATTAAGAAACTATAGAAATACATATGGATTGTTAGTGTTTTTAGGATATACTAACATTTAACCATAGGAAGATACTTTAATGCTGAATACAAAATAGTCAAATCATGAAGCAGAAATATTATATATTATATATAATACATTATATATAATATTATTATATAATATATTAATAATGATTGCATGTGACACTTTGGGAAGCCAGCACAGGCTACCTGGTGACCACGACAGTGCACTCCTCCCAGGTTTCTTCTCATTTGTTCTCACTGCAGCTTCCCACCACCCCAATACAGAAGTGAGCCTTTGCCTGCCTACCTCTGCATCTAGGATGTGGAGTATGGTATCACTCAGTCACTCTCCTTCCCAGCCACACAAGAAGTCAGGCTACCGGCAGGGACGTCCTCTCTCTTCCCTAGGACACAAGGCGGAAGCAGAAACGCCTCTCACCCACGTTTACCCTCCCTGCCCACTCCATACCTGAATATGGCCTAATAATGTCTCTGATTTCCTCACCTTTTAAATAAACTTTATACCTCCCAAAATGTGAGTATTCAGCCAATATTTGTTCTTCCTATTCCCTAGAATAAACCAGCCCCGAAGTCTTGTGAACATGCTGCTTTGGCACAACAGGTCAGCTCCATTCCATATGGATGATCTGCAGCACACTTCATTAACCACGTCAAGGAATCTATCTTCCTGATACAGCATTTTCCCTGAAGGGTCCACTGAAAACACTTTCCAATATACCCAACACCGGGGAGGCAATACTTCTTTTTGGCTTTGCCTTCTTGATCATTCCTTCTCTTTCTGTCGCCCAGAAGCTATCTTCGGCAAAGACACTGCTGTCGCCACGACTTTGAACAAACTGTTTTCTCTCTATTAGGCCAACTCAAAATAAGAAAAATAAGAGATTCTACATTCCCACATATTGCTTCTCCTCTAAGTCTTCTTTCTTCATGAAGATAGCAGTTCCTCACCTGTGTCATTTTCACTTTCTCTGAAAAACTTCATTAGCCTATCTCTTGGCAAGGCCTCCTGATGGTAAATTTCCTTAAGTTTAGTGTACACTTGTCATTTGAAAGATAAATTTGCTGTTACTGGGCCTGTGTCTTCTAGTCTGTTTTCTCTTTGCTTCCATTAGGTGAGACAGGAAGAAGTCCAAACATAAAGGAAAAGACTGCTAATATTTCCCTGGAGTTAGGACGGTCTGGCAAATCTGTGGTTTGCTGAATCCACAATGAATGTTCTCAGCCTGTTTCCAAATGGTTACTTTTCCTCTCCCACTGCCTCAAAGTTTAAGAGGATTTTTCCCAGGTTCTCCCTTGTGAGAACCTGCTGAGGTTCTTGGAGATAGAACTCATGAAAGAGGGGTTTCCTTTAAAAGACTGAGTTCCAAGGGGTTTTTCACTTTCAAACTAGCTCACGGTCAACCTCCAGCCACTGGCCACAATTCCCCCTTATACAGTCTAATTCCAGCAGCTTCAGTTCCAATTAAACTGGCCTGGGCTATGACCACTGGATCACACACCCATCCAGGTTTTAGGGTGGTGGTGTGCTATTTGCCTTGGATTCTCCGAGGGTCTGAAAGCCACTGATTTTGATTTTGTTCAGCTTTTACTTGTGTTTTGGATGTGAATGATGACTTCCAAGCTCTTCGTAGGTTAGAGCTGAACTGTTTGTTTCTCATATTCCACTCGTGAAATTCTACCACTTCTGCGGACTCTCTCTTACATTCTAGTTGCTCCAGCGAAGGGACATGGACTCCACGGACTTCAGTTTATGAAGGGAAGATGCAGGGGCCATCCCAAGAGCCCAGCGCAGCTCTCGTTCACGCAGCTTACAGGTCTATGTTCCATATTATGATTTTTGTTATCATTCATCCAACTCTTACTCTTTTCCACTTTTGTGTCTGACTTTTTTTGGTGCAGTTCTAGCTAACTCAGAGGTTCTGAGACAGGCATACAGAAGTGGTTCAGAACCAGGAGGTGCAACCTATTCCAGCTGCTCCAATTCAGCCAGTGCTGGAAGCTGGTTAGTTAGGCAGAGATGGAAAGTTGCAGATGCATTCCCTCAGAGGCCTCTGACATTTAGTAAGAATTCTGATGTCTTTATTTTTCTATTTACATGTTAATCGAGAACATATATGGAAGAACTGAAGACAATTTGATTTCTTTTGTTTCTCTTATACAGTACACTTTCAGAAAAGGCCAAGAGTTCTGATGTGTAAAATTTCTTGACATGTGCTTTTCTCACTCATCATCTTGACCATCTTCTGGCACTCTATTAATGCAAAGGCAATTATGTAGGATCTAAAGCATTACGGCTCTCCCAATAGTCAGAAGTTATTACAAGAAAACAGAGAATTAAATATACAGAAATGTTCATGTCTCTATTATGAAAATAAGATTGTGAGCTACTTTGTTTTCCAGATCCTGTATTTTCCAGAAGTTCGTAATGCATTCATACTTTTTTTTTAAAAGATTTATTTATTTTTATTGGAAACATTGTGGCATAGCAAGATAAAGCTGTTGCCTGTGATGTGGGCATGCTATATATGGGTGACAGTTCACATCCCAACTGCTCCACTTCTGATGTAACTCCTGCTAATGGCCTGGGAAAGCAGGAGAAGCTGGTCCAACTGCTGGGGACCCTACTACTCAAGTGGGAGACCTGGAAAAATTTCGCAGCTCCTCATTTCAGCTTGACCTAACCCTGAACATTGTGGTCATATGGAGAGTGAACCACATGATGGAAGATCTGTTTCTCTGTGCGTGTGTCACCATCTCTCCCTCTCTGTAACTCTCACATTCAAATAAATATGTAAAATTTTGAAAAGAGAATTACATTTTTAAGAAATGCTGTAGACATTGAGTTATAATCACTGGAATAGCTGGCTGATGTCTCCACAATTCCTCAATTAACTCAAAACAAGGCACCAATAAAAATTAGGAAAACCTGGAACCAGCATGGTAGCCTAGTACCTCAAGTCCTCATCTTACATGCACCAGGATCCTACATGGGTGCGGTTTGTATCCCAATTGCTCCACATCCCATCCAACACCTGCTTGTAACCTGGGGAAGCTGTCAAAGATGGCCCAAGGCCTTGGGATTCTGCACCTACACAGAAGACCAGAAGAAGCCCCTAGCTTTGAATCGGCTCAACTTGAGATGCTGTGGCCACTTGGGGAGTAAACTAGCAGAAGAACGATTTTTCTGTCTCTCCTTCTCTATGTAAATCTGACTTTCCAATAAAAATAAATTAATCTTTATTTTAAAACTTAGGAATATCTACATTTATTGACATGAAAAGATGTGCATATTAGGACATTCTATTCACTGTTCTTTAGCGTGTATTTTATATGTATATAAAATACACATACACATATACAAACATATATACACATATACAGACATGCACATATATATCATCAATTCTTGATAACCACAGGGAATTGGTTCCAGACACCTCCTCAAATACCAAAACCAGCATATACTCACATCTCTTGGGCACAGTATAGCTATGCCTCTTAACTACAGGGACCATTCTGGGTAACGAATCATTAGGAAATTTCATCGTGAGAACATCACACAATATATCTATGCAAACCTATGTAGGATAACCTATGTACTAGCCTACATGGTATATATCATATGTACGGTCCACCATTGATTGTAATGTTATACAGTATATAACTGCATGAGTATTCATGTATAACTCTCATATAGCATCCTATATACTTTAAATCATCTCAGGATTACATACAGTACTTAATACAACGCCTTATATTACTTTATTTATGGATTCAGTGCAGTACTCAGTACACGGCAAACTCAAATTCTAAAAGTTATTGACATTTTTTTTCTGAATATTTTGAATCTGTGGTTTGCTGAATCCACAGAGGTAAACCCATGGACACAAAGGCCCAAATTTGCACAGAAAATACTTGGAAGAGTCTATACTATCACATAGACTCCAGATACAATCACTGCTTATATCATGGAGTGGGTCAGCAGAACTTAATAACTGATCTACCATCAAAATTTTAAACTTTATAGCAGGTAAATGCATTACTTGCATAATGAAATTTCAAAAAATCTGAGTCAGAAAGACCAGCTCAAGGTACCTGGGTGTGTCTACAAACTTCTCAATCAGCACAGTGTCATCATTGAAAGATTTCTTAGCCTCTCTCCGTGCAGATTCCAGCTGCTCTTGAAATTCTTCTTCTGACCTAATGATCCTCATGCCCTAAGAGAGAGAAGACAGTGAGGACCACAGCACAAGGAGAACAAAGACTCCACAAGCATCCCAAAACTTACTTTCCCTCCTCCGCCCCGGACGGCTTTAATCATGACGGGGTAACCGATTCTCCTTGCGTGTTCCTTCAGCAACTGGTCTGACTGCTCCTCGCCGTGATAACCTTCCACCACAGGCACCCCAGCAGCAGCCATTATGCATTTTGATGTGCTTTGCAGTTAAAGACAAGACACTCTCATTCTATGAATTGCTTCATACAAAAAAAAAAAAAAAATACAAAACAGCCTAGACTGCACATAACAATCACTCTCTTTAAAAATGCCTGTTATTAGGGGGAAAAAAACCCTCTTTTAATAAACCTACATTCATGTGGTTACATTAACAAAGATAAAAATTCTTACCTCTTTATACCCATGTCTCTAATTGCAGATGAAGGAGGGCCTATAAAAATAATTCCTTCCTGTTTACAAAGATCGGCAAATTCCATGTTTTCTGAAAGAAAACCATATCCGGGATGGATGGCCTAAAAATGAGAAACACAAAAAACTGGCCAGTTAATTTTCAGCCAGCAGAGGTTTGATGCAGGTTACGTGGTCATCCTCTGAGTAGGCCTCTCCTTACACTCGTGATGGGGACACTGCAGTCAGCATCAAAATCTGCTTCCAAAGAAATGTCTTAAATAATCATACTACGGTCCTGAGATTTGGGCTAAACCAGAAGAATCTGTATTTTTTAAATTGTAATAATACATAAATATCATAACATTTACTATTTTAAGCACCTAAGTATATGATTCAGAAACATCAAGCACAATCCCAGGCTGCAAGCAGGACCACCACCCACCCACCCACTCCCTGGCATCTCCAGCCCACAGAAATCTCCATTTTACTCTATGGAAATGACTGTATTCGGTACCTCCTGTAAGCTAGCATTTTAACTGTGTCTATGGCTTATTTCATTTTAGTGCAATGTATTCTAGGGTTACTCATGTTGTAGTATGTATCAGAATTTCATTCTTCTTTAAGCCAAATAATATTCTACCACACATAAGCACATTTCCACATTTTGTTTGTTCATTTGTTGATGGACATGCTAACAGGTTATTGTTATTTTTTTTTAAATTTACTTATTTTTTATTTGAAAGGCAAAGTTACAGAAAGAGAAAGATCTTTCATTTGCTGTTTCACTTTCCAAATGGCTGCAACAGTAGGAAGTGGGTAGGTCCAAAGTCAGGAGCCAGGAGCTTCTTGCAAGTCTCCCATGTGGGAACAGGGGCCCAAAAACTTGAACCATCGTGCACTGCCTTACTAGGCCATTAGCAGGGAGCCCGATGGGAAGTGGAGCAGCTGGAACTCAAAGTGGCACCCATACAGTATGCTGGTGCACAGCTGGAAGCTTAGTGTGCCATGCCATGGCACTGGCCCCATGATACTTTTTAACTGTTGTGAATAATGTGACTATGTATGCTGGAGTCCTTGCCTTATATTATTTCAGGCATACCTAGAAGCAGAACTGCTTGATCACACAGTACAAGAGAATCAATATTTCAACTGAAAATCATATTGCAATTAGAGTAGAATGTCAAAGAATAAAGAGTTTGAGAGTAATAAGAGAGGGATTTGTTTACTATCCCTGGTAAAATTGGCCCAGAATTGAAACTACAATATTTAAAAGCTCAGAGGGCACTAGCACAAGGGTATCTTGTTGATCTTCAGGTCCCTGTCTGTCAAGGTTATCTTCCCAGAGAAAAGTTTAGAAACACAGCAAACATGTAATGTATTCAAGTCCACATAGCCTTCTGTGAAGACGACCACCGAACTCCCCACCCCCTTCTCAGACTTTACCCTAGTCATTCCTAAGTTACTCAGATTTTGAACAAAGTTATTGATCTGGTTTTTAGCCAAGAGAAGAGGGAAATCAACAGCTGAAGGAAGACCAGATTTCTAAGAGTAAACACAGTGAGAGCAGTAAAGGAAGAAACAGAAGAAAGCAGAGGGCAGACAGGCTGGGATGATGTAGTGAGGGAAGACGCAACTCTAGCCAACATCAACAACCTTGAGGGCAACTGCTCTCAGGAGACTGAAAAAACATGAAAAAGTTCAGTCAACAGTATTTCCAAATAATTAAGTTCAAAGAACATCTCAAAATTCAAGGAGTAACTTCAAATATTTGGCAAACTCAAATAATCAGAAAAACCCATATCGTTTCTCAACTTTCATTTTATCTATTTATTTCTTTTACTTATTTATTTGATTTTATGCTACAGTTCCATGGACTCTGGGTTTTCCTGCTGTCCCTCCTCAAATCCCCTCCCCTACACTGATCCCCCCTATATTATTATAATAGTATAGTCCTTCATAAACAGTTATATGCTCACTATTTTGCTATTTAAGTGTATCCTGACATTGTAGGTATGAACAACAGTAGAGTCTAGCATCCTACCGTCAAGACATATTTAACAGTTTCATCCCATTGTATCTTCACATCTGGATATGATAGTCTCTATTAGATACTATACATCCTTTAAATGAAAAGCCATAAAACAAAATCAACAGGAATAAAAACAGAAAATATACAACTACATGAAGTTAAATAACATGCTACTGAATGAACAATGTTTTGTTTAAGAAATAAAAAAGTCCAGACAGAGAACCGTCAGAGAAGGAAAACTACAGACCTATTTCTCTGACGAACATTGATGCTAAAATTCTCAACAAAATCCTAGCTAATAGAATTCAAAAAATCATCAGACAGATCATTCATCCGGATCAAGTAGGATTCATCCCTGGAATGCAGGGATGGTTCAACATTCGGAAATCCATAAATGTTATAAACCACATACAAAAACTGCAAAACAAGAACCACATAATAGTTTCAATAGATGCAGAAAAAGCTTTCGACAAAATCCAACACCTCTTCATGCTAAAAACTCTAACCAAAGTAGGCATAGATGGGAAAATCCACAACATAATCAAAGCAATTTATGAAAAACCCAACGCCAGTATCATACTGAATGGAGAAAAGCTAGAACCCTTCCCATTGAGATCTGGAACAAGACAAGGATGCCCGCTATCACCACTGCTATTCAACATAGTCCAAGAGGTACTTGCAGAGGCCATAAGACAAGAAAAAGAAATCAAAGGCATACGTATAGGAAACGAAGAAGTCAAGCTTTCACTATATGCAAATGACATAATTCTATACATAGAAAATCCAGGAGACTCAATACAGAAACTACTAGAACTTATATGAGAGTTTGGCAGAGTGGCAGGGTACAAAATTAATGAACGAAAATCAACAGCCATAGTGTACGCAAATAACACCAAGATGGAAGAAGACCTAACCAACAGGATACCATTCAAAACAGCAGAGAGAAGTATGAAGTATCTGGGAATAAATCTAACCAAAAGCGTAGGAGACCTATTCGAAGAAAACTACAAACTATTTAAAAAGGAAATTGAACAAGACCTCAAAAGATGGAATAACATCCCATGCTCCTGGATAGGCAAAATCAATATCATTAAAATGTCTATACTACCACAAGCTATATACATTTTCAATGCAATTCCAATCAAATTGCCCAAAACATTCTTCACGGAACTGGATACAACGATTCAAAAGTTCATCTGGAAACACAAAAAACCACGAATAGCTAGAACCATCCTGAAGAATAAGAAGTTAGCAGGGGGAATCACAATCCCGGACCTCTGGACATACTATAGAGCAGTGGTTATCAAAATAGCCTGGTACTGGCACAAAGACAGGAAGGAAGATCAATGGAATAGAATAGAAGCACCAAAAGGGAACCCACACAGATACAGCCAATTAATCTTTGACAAAAAGACCAATGACAGTCCAAGCAAGTGGGAAGGCCTCTTTAGTAAATGTTGTTGGGACAACTGGCTGATAGCCTGTAGAAACAAAAAGATAGACCCACATCTATCACCATACACTATCCAATCTACATGGATAAAAGACCTAAACCTACATCCAGAAACCTTCAAACTCTTGCAAGAAAATGTTGGAAATACCCTGCAAGACCTAGGAGTAGGTCCCGACTTTCTAAGAAGGACACCAAAAGCAATAGCAGTTGAGAACAGAATAAACAAATGGGACCTCATCAAACTAAGAAGTTTCTGCACAGCAAGGGAAATAATCAACAAAGTAAAAAAGCAACCCACAGAGTGGGAGAAGATCTTTGCACACTATATAGGTGATAGGGGGCTAATTTCCAGGATATACAAAGAACTTCAAAACAACCAAAAAACCAAAACAAACAAGCCACTCAAGAAATGGGCACGGGAAATGGGCAAACATTTCACAAAGGAACAAGTCCAAATGGCAAACAAACATATGAAAAAATGTTCCAGCTCCCTGACAATAAGGGAAATCCAAATTAAAACATCGATGAGGTACCACCTAACACCAGTTAGATTGGCCCACATAAACAAGAACACCAACAACGCTTGCTGGCGAGGATGCGGGGAAAAGGGAACCCTACTCCACTGCTGGTGGAGCTGCAAATTGGTACAGCCTTTATGGAAATCAGTCTGGAGAACACTCAAACAACTCAAAATCTGCATACCATATGACCCAGCAATTGCACTGCTAGGAATATATCCAAAACACCTGTTTTACGACAAACCAACATGCATCCCTATGTTCATAGCAGCACAATCAGTAATTGCAAAAACATGGAAGCAACCGAAATGCCCATCAGCAGAAGATTGGATAAGAAAGCTTTGGTTCATCTACTCCATGGAATACTACTCAGCTATTAAAAAAAACAAAACGCAGTTCTTTGTGGCTAAATGGGCCCAACTGGAAACTATAATGCTAAGGGAAATGAGCGAATCCCAAAAGATTAGATACCACATGTTTGCCTTGATTTAACTTGTAATTTTTGTTTGGTTGTTGGTTATTTTTTGAACCTGTCATTGATACTGTCCCAACCCAGATGTTTCGAAGAATTGAACTTGCATTATTTTTAACATATTGTTTACCCAATACTATGTCAATTAATTCCATAATGTTGTATATTGATACTGAGGTTTTGTTGGGGCTTTTAACTGACCGGATCTTTACTCTGTTAGCCCTATCTTCAGACTAGAGAAGGTCTCCCCAAGAGGCCACTGAACTTATCTGGACAATAAGACGCTGGGCTTTATGCTAGATATGTGTTTGCAAGGAACGAATCTCAACTGAACTTAAACTGTGGTTATGCATCAAGGTGGAGGAATCCACCATGGGGGGACGGGTATGGGAGGGGTGGGGGGAATCCCCAGTGCCTATAAAACTGTATCACATAATACAATGTTAACAACAATAAAAAAAAAGAAGAAATAAAAAAGTAAATTTAAAACCTTTTGAAGAAAATAATACTACTGTATGACATGTGTCACTGAAAAAATTTTAAAAATCTTTTAAGAAGAAAAAAAGGAACATAAGGGGAGAATCAAGATGGCAGACTAGGGTAAGGACACATTTAAATGGATGGAAAAACATTTAATCAGGATGAAGCAG